CAGCTCACTAATGCCTAAGATATCGATGTTGATGCATTCCATTTCATTTTTGACAACTTCCAATTTTCCCAGATTCATACTTTGTACATTCCGTGTTCCAATTTTCAATGGATGTTTACAGCTGTTTCTCTTCATTTTGAATTATGCCCCATGAGGAAACAAAGGTCCCACGGGCTTTTCTCCCATGGGCTTTACTCCATTCGTGTTATCACGGTCAACTCTACTTTGAGGAGGCAGCTCTTCCTCAGTCACAATTTGAGTGACTTCCTACCTGAGGGCTCATTTTCCGGCACTATATCTGACAATCTGACAGTATTTCTCTGCTATTCATAAGGTTTTCAGTGACTAATATTTGGAAGTAGTTCATCACATTACCGGTATAATATTTACTCGCATTAATATATATATATATAAAATGAAGACCCATCAATAATGATATTGCTGTAAAGTAAAGAGTGAAGCTATATACTCTCTCCATCTTCCTCTGCACCCTACATTCTTCATTTATCAAGAATTGTGAATGCTTTCAATATTTTCTCAGCAGTCATTTTGGGTCATGTGAAGATACTGTCTGTCAGTCACTTATCTTATTTCTTCTCAAAAATGGATCTGAAACAGAAGCAAAGCCAGTGAACAGAGTCCCTATTTCGTGGAAGATTATAAAGTTGTCTAGGATGCTTTTACTCTGTGATTATACAGCTCTCAAGTCTGCTGTTACTGTGTTCCCTCCTCTAAGGTGAGATCAAGGGCCTCTGGTCCTATGACGACATCATGTATTCCGATGAGCTGGTGCTGATCAATGCTGTCTCCTTCCAAGGGAAATGGAAACACGTGTTTCAGAAAGACCAAACCAAGACTATGGTTTTCAGGCTGGATGAGGTAGTCCGATGATTTAATTTCTTTTTCTCTTATATGAATCCTCAAACCTTAGAATAAGATATTTATGCCTTTAGGTTGACAAATTAATTTCTGAATGACTGGTGGAGCATGGGAGGATAAGCACTGGACTGCTAAGCTAGTGGCTGAGACTCACCAGCTGTTCCTCGGACATCCTATAGGGGGTCACTGTGAGTCGGGATCTGGACAGCACATAACAACAAGAAAAGCAACTGCTTATCTATACACTCAAGAAAGAACAGAATTAGTTTTGCAAGACTTGTTGAAGCTTTCTTTGAAATTCTCCATAGTGGTTTTTTTTAAACCCTATTTAAAAATAGTATTTTTTTAAAAAACAATGTAGCTGTATAATTAAAAATATATATCAAATAGAGACCTTGGAATATTTAAATTAAAGTAGGTACTGTGTTAAACCTTTATTAAGCAATTTGTGTGCTGCAAACTGGAAGTGATATCAGAAGATGGGTAAGAACTAGATTAAACCTTCTTAGAAATAGCAGGCAGATCATTGACAAGATTCATGCAATCCTCTGAAAAAGCAAAGCAAAACAATGAACACAACTCCCCATCAGAAGGTTTCAGGTATGCTCCCCTTCCATTAAACTCCATCCTTCCAAATTCTTTTCTTAGTGACCTCAAAGTGGCCCAATATCAGATTCCAGTCCACATATGCTACTTAAATAAGAAATAATAGGATCCCGATGTGGTGCTGTAGGGTAAGCACTGAACTGCTAGCCACAAACTCAGTGGTTCAAACCCACCAGCTGCACCTTGGAAACCCTATACAAAGTCACTGTGAATCTGAATCTCTCTGATGACATCCAAAATGTGTTAATGAAAGGGTTAAGCATTAGGATGCTAACTGCAAGGTCAGTGGTTCAAATCCACCAGTCACTATGAGGAAAAAGATGAGTCTTCTGCTTCATAAAGATTTACAGTATTAGAAACCCTACACAAGGTTGATATGAGTTGGAATCGACTATATGATATTGGATTTATTTTCTTTATGGGGGGTTCATATGATAACTAAGTTCCATTTATTCTAGTCTACCAAAAAATACTGAAAATTATAGGTAAATTTATCATCTGCATGGCCAACTGTAGAGATAGGAAAAAAGTTGTATTTCTGAATAAATGCTTTACATGTAAAATAATTACCAAATAACTTTAATGAGAAACATAGTCCTGGAAAAGGATGTCATGCTGGGTAAGATGGAGGGTCAGAGGAAAAGAGGAAGACCCCCAACGAGATGGATCGGCCAGGTGGCAGCATTGATGGCATCGAGTGTGGCGGCGGTAGTGAGGTTGGCCCAGGATTGGACATTGTTTCATTCTGCTGTGCATGGGGTCGTTATGAGTCGGTTCCAACTTGATGGCACCTGACAACAACAACAGCAATAGTCCTACAACCCAACACATTAATCATATCCAGAAGTGTCTAATAATAGCTTTCCAAAGAATATTTCCATCTGATTTAAAAAACTAACAACTTTTTTATTGTGAACTGAGTGAAGGTTTACAGGGCAGATCATCAGTTTTACATTCAACAAACCACTCACTTTGTTTCATTGCAATGATTGCCATCTGCTCCATGCAACAACGTTCTCCCACTTCCTCCCCGTGTTTCTTGTTTCTGTGGCTCCTTCTTACTTAACTTGTCTGAATTTTCTCCTTAGGTAAATGCTGCCCTTTTGATCTTGAATGATTGACCTCTGTGGTGTGTGTATTTCACTAGCGTTGTGCCCCCTATAGTTGGTGGTTGTGTGCCACCGAGTCAGTTCCAACTCATGGCGACCCTGTACAATATTTCTGAGACTAATCTTTTTAGGAGCAGAAAGCCTCATCTTTCTCCCGTGGAGTCACTGGTGGGCTTCATCCTTGGACCATGTGGTTAGCAGTCTAGTGCTTATCCTACAGAACCACTGTGCTCCCCTCCCCACCCCGTGTGTGTTTTCAAAAGTTGGATTCCAGCACCACCCCCTTTTTGAAGATTCTGATGTTACAAGAAGGCCTTAAACATATTTGTTTTCAAATAGATCCTTGGAGCCCTTCTAAGGACCAGCTTGGTTTGGGAACTACAGATATGTGAAATTGTGGGGGTAGTTTTATAGAGAGGTATGTAAAGGGATTACTGTTGTTAAGTGCAGTCAAGTCAGTTTCAACTCATTGTGACCTTGTATAGTGTGTCCAAGGAGCAGCTGGTGAGTTTGAACTGTTGACCTTGTGGTTCAAACCAACCTTGTGGTCCAGTGCTTATCCTAAATGCCACACCAGGACTAGCATTCCCCAAACAGAACATATTGCTAAACAGTTAAGATAGAATAATTTCTTTCATTGTAGAGTCTGGTCCATCAGTCTACATAAACAATGAAGGCTTAGGTTATAGGTATCTTTAGCCTGTTACCTAGAATTTCAAAAAGAAGAGCAACAATAGGAGTATGGTATGGTCATAATTAAGCTTACCTAAATTGACTACATTATATGGAACCCCCATAATATTGTGCTACATCCTTAGCGATCCTGTAACTCTAACAATGACCCAAATAAGACCCACACTGTATGTTCATCCAACTGACTAAAGTCGGGTTTTACTTGAGCTGAAGAACTTTCTAATTATATTCTTGAGATGACCGATTTGACCTATAGAAATGGTTATGCTGATAAGATTTCTAGTGTGCTTTGTTTCTCAGCCCAATGGAGTGAATGAATTCGTTAGTTATAGGCATCAACATTTCCTGGGTGGCTTAAGCTGTTAATGCACTTGCTGCTAACCCAAAAGTTTGCATTTCAAGGCCATCCAGAGATGCCTCAGGAGAAAGGTATTGTGATCTATGTTTGAAAAATCAGTCATTGAAAATCCTGTGGAGCATGGTTCTACTCTACACACATGTGGATGCCATAAATCAGAGCAGACGTCATGCCAACTGGTTTGGGGGCATCAAATATGTACACTGTATAAAAATAGTGGATGGGGGAGAAGTCAACATTTTGTTGTGCAGTGGCTATTTTCTTTAAGGAGTCCTGGTGGTGCATGGCTAAAGTATTAGGATGATACCTGAAAGGTTGGTGGTTTGAACTCACCAACTCACCAGCTGCTCCACAGGTCAGATTTGGCAGTTTTCATCCATAAAGATTTCCAAAGTCTTAGAAACCCTTTGGGAGCAGATCTACTTTGTTCTATAAGGTCATTATGAGACAGAATCAACTAGATGGCAATGTTTGATTTTTGTTTGGTGGTGCAGTGGTTAAGCACTTGGCTGCTAACCAAAAGGTTTAGAAGCTCAAACCCACCAACCACGGCATGGGAGAAAGATGATGCAGCTGTTTGTTTCCATGAAGAATTTTCAACCTTGGAAACATGGTGGGGTAGCTCTAATCTGTCTTATGGGGTCACTATAGGTTGGTATTGACCCCGTGACAGTAATTTTTGGTTTTGTGTTTATTTAGCTATTGTTCTTGAGATCATCACATTAATAGTCAGTCATAGACACTTCTGGGCAACGACACATTTTTTGTCACCTCATGTAGACAGTTTTGGAGGAGGGATAGTCTTAAAGATTTGCTATACCTTACATGAGAAAAAAATGAACACAGAAAGAGACTGACCTTGTCACTCACTTGTTTTTTCCTTTCAGTCCCAGAGCAAACCTGTGCAGATGATGCAGTTGCAGGGTGTCTTCAAGCTTGGCTCCATACAGGAGGCTGGGGTGCAGGTACTAGAGATGCCAGATGTGGAAGGTCACCTGAGTCTGGTCATCATCCTGCCTACAGAGAACGTGAGCCTGGGACAGGTAAAGTGCTGAGCTTTTGCAGCCACAAACCATGCAGAGAGTTTGAGGACTGAATAGTAACACTTGCAAAACTGGGAGTCCTTGGGTGGTCCATAGTTAATGTGCTTGGCTGCTGACTGAAAGGTTGGAGGTTCAAGTCCATCCAGATGCACCTCAGAAGTACTGGCCATCTACTTATGAAAACACATGGAGTCACGATGAGTAGGAATGGACTGCACAGCAACCGGTTACTTTTTGCTTCTGTTACTACGAGCAGTGGCATTATGTCCATTTAGAAAAAGTAAGCAAGACTTACATGAAAAGTTACATAAACACTAATACTCTCAAAGTTTATTGCTTATCATTATAAACATTTTAGGTTTCTAAAACATAGTCACATGCATTTTCTGTATTAGTTCTCATAGGATTTTTATTTACTGTGGCAATTCTGCATTTTCCTCCATATTACACCTTGACTTCTTCAGACCTGCATCCATCAAGGAAGTCTGTTTCCACCAGTGACATCACTAAGGTTGGTGTCATCCAATATGATAGCTTATACTGTCATCAACCCTCATCCCCAGTGGACCTCATCCCATGCAAGATCATACAGAATCCTTAGTCATGTTTTTGTACCAGTATAATTCCCATATATCACTGAATGTAATGACAATTTCTTGTTGTTAAGTGCCACTGAGTTGGCTCTGCCCCATAGCGACCCTGTGTAGGGTTTCTGAGGAGCAGCTGGATAGCTTGAACCGCTGACCTTTCAGTTCAAATGTTTTTGTAGTCTGGCGCATTAACCCAGAGCATCACACCAGGATACCGTAATGATAATAGTAGTGACAAAAACAGCTAGAAGATTTAAATTCAGTTTTTAAGTGACAGTGACATGTTCAAGTGAAACCACATGGCTTAAAGTGCCATTGTAATTGGGTAATAATGACAGCTCTGACCAGAGTGATTTGTTGTTGTTGTTGTCAGTTTTAACTCATTAGGACCCTACGTACAAGAGAACAAAATATCGCGGATACCTGCATCATCCTCACGATTTTTGTTTGAGACTTCTGATGAAGCCATGGTGCCAATCCATCTAATTGAAGGTCTTACTCTTTTTACTTCACTGTTCTTTACCAAGCATGATGTTCCTTTCTGGGGACTAGTCTCTCCTGACAACATGCCAAAGTACATGAGATGAAGTCTTACTGCCCTCAATTCTGAGGAGGATTCTGGCTGAACTTCTTCCAACACAGAATTTTTTGTTATTCTGGCCCATGGTATATTCAATATTCTTTGCAAACACCATAATTCAAATGCATCAATTTTCCTCATATTCGTTGGCTGGTTTTTACATGCATATGAGGCAATTTAAAATATCATGGCTTGGGTCAGGCACAACTCAATTCTCAAACTGACATCATTGCTTTTAAACCATTTAAAGAGGTCTTTTATAGCAGATTTGTCCAATGCAATTTATCCCTTGATTTCTTGACAAATGCTTCCATGAGCACTGATTGAAAATCCAAGTAAAATGAAATCCTTGACAGTGTCAATTTCCCTCCCCCCATTTATCATGATGTTGTTTATTGGTCCGGTTGTGAGGATTTTTGCTTTCTTTGTATGGAGTGCATTGTTGTTTGTTGATGTTAGGTGCCATCACGTTGATTCCAACTCATAGCAACCCTGTATAGGGTTTCCAAGGAGTGGCTGGTGAGCTTGAACTGCTGACCTTTTGGTTCAAACTGATCTTTCAGTCCAGTGCATTAACCTACAGCACCATACCAGGACTCCTGGAATGCATTTGAAGGCTCAAAAAATAAATCCGCATAGAGTTTAGTCTTTTTGTTGTTGCTGTTGTTGTCAGGTGCCATCAAGTCAGTTCTGACTCACAACAACCCTATGTACAACAGAACTAAACACAGTATGTCCTATACCCACCTCGCAATTCTTGTTACACTAGAGTCCATTGCTGTTGTCACTGTGCCAGTCCATTTCATTGGGGGTCTTCCTCTGTTTCTCTGAACCTCCACTTTACCAAGCATGATGTCCTTCTCCAGGGATTGATACCTCCTGATAACATGTCTGCAGTGTGAGAGATGAATTCTCAGCATCCTGGCTTCCAAGGAGCATTCTAGCTGTACTTTATCTGAAACAGATTTGTTTGTTCTTCTGGTAGTCCATGGTACTCTTAATATTCTTCTTCAACACCATAACTCAAATACATCAATTCCTCTAGGGTCTTCCTTATTCCTTATTCATTATCCAACTTGTACATAACATTCAGCTATTGAAAATACCATAGCTTGGGTCAGGTATGCCTTAGTCTTCAAACTGATATCTTTGCTCTTGAACACTTTAAAGAAGTCTTGCACACCAGGTTCGTATAGTGCAATATTTCGTTTGATTTCTTGACAGCTGCTTCCATGAGTGTTGGTAGTGGAGCCAAGCCTTTTAGGTATATTGATACATATTGTTGTTGTTAGGTGCCATAGATTTGGTACCGACTCATAGCGATCTTATGCACAGCAGAATGAAACACTGCCCAATCCTGGGCACTGTTGCCATGCTTGAGTCCATCGATGCTGCCACTTGGCCAATCCATCTCATTAGGGGTCTTCCTCTTTTTCTCTGACTCTCCACCTTACCAAACATGGTATCTTTCTCCAGTGACTGGTCCCTCCTGACAATATATCCAAAGTATGAGAGATGAAGTTTAGCCATCTTAGCCTCCAAGGAGCACTCTAGCTGCACTTCTTTCAACACAGATCTGTTGGTTCTTTTGGCAGCCCATGGCACTTTCAATATTCTCCTCTAAACTGGAACTCAGCATCACTCTCAGCTGCTCTATCCTGCTGAGAACATCACATCCTCCCATTAGCCTTTCTTCATCCTTGTTTGCAAAGATCCTTGCTTGTCCTGTGAGGCCTGCTAGGCAGGCAGGAGATGGGAAAACTAAGTCAGTTTATTGTTTGCTCTACATTTCATAGCCAACTAATGTCTGTAACTTCACTGAACCCTGTTCTTTGTCTTCTCAGCCCACTTGAGGCTTAGTTTTAAAATGCCTGCTCAGATTTACCAAGACCCTGGCTAAAAACCAAACTTCCAGCAACTTAACAAAATAAAGTGTATATATTGTTGTTGTTGTTATGTGCCGTGGAGTTGGTTCTGACTCATAGTGTCCCTGTACAGGGTTTCCGAATCTGTATATATGAGGAGGTTTCAAAAAGTTTGTGGGGAGATTCCATAGCGTTTTTTGGTTGTTGTTAGCAGTCTAGTACTTATCCTATAGCACCACACCAACATTCATAGGTTTGATCATTTATAAGCTACTGCCGTTGAGTTGATGTAACTCTTAGTAACCACAGATGGGGTTCCCAAAGTTGTAAATCTTCGTGGGAGGAGAAAGCCTCATCAGATTCCATAGTTTTAAAATTCCATTTTCCAGAAATTGTTTGAAGCTCCTTGTATGTGTGTATGTATCGCTAAGTAGATCAATCAGTAGGTAGATAGATCATTAGATATATGTGAAGGTTTCTGATCCCGGCAAAGATTTAAAGATTTGGAAACCCTAAACAGGGTTACTATGAGTTGAAATACACTCAATAGTACTTAACAGCAATATGTGTGTGTGTGTGTGTGTGTGTGTGTGAGTGTACACACACATATATAGGAGCATAGTGAGTCCATAGGGTAAGCACTGGACTGCTAACCATGAAGTGGGTGGTTTGAACCCTTCAGCAACTCTGCAAGAGAAAGATTAGGCTTTCTTCTCCCACAAACATGTACAGCCTTGAAAATTCTGTAAAGAGTTGCTATGAGTCAGAACCAATTTGATATACACATATAAAGAGAAAGAAAGAGAGTCCTGGTGTGGTAGTGTGGGATAATGCCCTGGACCACAAGGTCAGTTTGAACTGCAAGGTTGGTGGTTCAAACTCACTAGCTCCTCCTTGGAAACCCTATATAGGGTTGTTACGAGTTAGAACTGACTTGATGGCACTTAACAACAACAACCAAATGTATATATATGCATGTATACGTAGTATATGCATGTATGCGTATGTATATGTGTGTATATGTATGTGTGTATATGTGTATATGTATATGTATGTGCATGTGTATGTATATGTATGCATATGTATGCATGTGTGTATATGTATGTATGTGTATGTATATGCATGTATATGTATGTACATGTATGTATATATGTTGTTGTTATTGTTGTTAAATGCCTTCCAGTTGGTTCCCACTCATAGAGACCTTGTAGAGTGTTTCTGAGGGAGTGGCTGTTATGTGTGAACTGCTAACCTTGCAGTTCAAATCAGCCTTGAGGTCGAGAACTTATCTTATGGTGCCACTCCATATGGGTGTGTGTGTGTGTATATATATATATTGTTGTTGTTGTTGTTAAGTGTTGTCGAGTCGATTCCGACCCATAAAGACCCTGCATAGGGTTTCCAAGGAGCAGCTGGTGAGCTTGAACCACCAACCTTGTAGTTCAAATGGCTTTGCAGTCTGGCACAATAACCCACAGTGCCATACCAGGACTCTATATCTATCTATCTATCTATACCTGCATATATACTTGTATATATATACTTGTGTGTGTGTGTATATATATCTATATCTATATCTATATATATATGCATATATACTTGTGTGTATATATACTTGTGTATATATACATATATATGCATATATACTTGTGTATATATGTATATATACATGTTGCTGTTGTTAAGTATTGACGATTCAGTTCTGACTCGTTGTGACCCTACATAGAGTCTTTGAGGAGCAGCAGGTGGGTTTGAACTATCCACCTGTGGTTTCATAGCCCAGTGTTGATCCTTCAGCACCACACCAGGAGTTTCATATATATATACAAATAAGCCAGTGTAGAAATAACATGATTATTATATGCTTTAAGAAAAATAGAAGATCAAAATGAGGTAGAAAGTGACAGGTGTGAGAAACATCAAGTTTACATAAGATGATTATAGAAAACCTATTGGTCAAGTGAGATTTATGTTATCATTGCTAATTAATAGTAACATTAGCTTCTAATATAGTGTTGGAAGATGAGCCTTTTAGTGGGGAGGCAGCACCATATAATAACCACAACAGTGGGCCCAAACATCCCAAAGATCCTAAAGATGGCTCGGGACTGGCCATCATTTAGTTCCGCTGTATGTAGCCCACCATGAGTTGGAGCCAATCCGATGGCAACTAATGACCACAAAGATGATCTATATATGTTACTTCCGTATACACTCAGTCTTCACGAATATCTGACAAGTGAGAACTTTGAGTTGAGTTACAGTAGAAAATTATTTTAGTCTGTCTATAATTTAGTCCATGCAGTGTCAAGGTTGGGAGATGTCATGTTCCAAAGATGCCATTTAATGTGATAAGTAAAAAACAGTGTTTGTTTTGTTGATAAGTGCTGTTGAGTCAGTTGCAACTCATAGTGATGCAAAGGGTAGATACTTAATCACGTGTACTATGTTGTTAGTGTTGTTAAGTGCCCTGCAGTATACCATGTACAATTATAATACACAAGTCATATAATTTATAGAAGCATCCCAAGAGAAAGAAAATAAAAATTCCCTACGGTGGTTTTATGTTGTTGTAAGTGGCTCTTGGGTTCCAGGGTACCATGCTCTGGCTTCGAGTCTCTCATGTGCTGCATCTCCCCCACATGCTCTGGGACAATGCTTAGAATCTGATTTTCAAAATGTCAGTGAGAAGCTTTGCCTCCAGTCCTTTGAATGTTTCCCACTCCAGTGTGGCGCTATAGGGTAACCATTTGACTGCTAAGTGGTTCAAACTCACCATCTGCTCCTTGGTAGGGTTGTTATGAGTCAGAACCGACTTGATGGCACATACCAACAACATCGATTTTCTCAATTAGTTTGCATTTTGTCTCCTGCTTTCTTTTCTTAGGTCCTGAGAGAAATCACTTATGAGAAGCTGAAAAGCTGGATCAGCCCAACAAATATGGCAGACACTGCTGTGGACCTGCATCTTCCCCAGCTTAGACTGGATGGCTGCCAGGGAGACTACACTTCTATCTTGGCGACCTTGGGAATGACTGATGTCTTGGACCCCTCAGTGGCTAACTTGTCAGGCATAACTGTAAGAGGAGGCCTCGTGGTGTCCAGGATAATCCACACAGCCATTCTAAAGGTCACTGAAGATGATTATGTGTTATCACCTGCCAACTCAGCAGGCCAAGTGAAAAATCTCCAGGTCTTTCAGGTGGACCATCCTTTCCTCATCTCTGTCCTACAGAAGGACACAGAGGCACTTCTTTTCTATGGTGTAGTATCCAACCCTTAAGGAAGGAGGCACATCATTTTCTAATTCTTCAAAATGTCTGGATTTTAGAGTCAGCATATTTTGTAGCATTCACAGTCTGGTGCAGCTAGCAGGAGAAACCATGATTCTTACCAAAGTTTTTCTTTCATATCGACCATGTAGAATGTCCATTCCATCTGTCTTTGGATCTGTCTACATTGGTTATAGCATGTTATTGACTGTATTCATTACAAAATTAAGCTCAATACCATGTCTTCCTTAGGCACTCCACAAGTTACCCAGAACCTTATTAATATTGTTGTTGTAGTTGTTATGTGCCATCGAATCAGTACTGACTCATAGTGACCTCATGCACAACAGAATGAAACACTGCCCAGTCCTGTGCCAGCTTCACAAATTGTTCCTACATTTGAACCTTCTTGGTAGGTTGTTAAAATTCAGAATGCATTTTTCCATAGAAAAACATACTGTTCAATGTGATTAGGTTATTAAGTTAGAGGCCCCAGATTTGTTTATCTTCCCTACAGCTGAACAAATGATATTAGGAAGTGGAGCTAACCCTCACGGGGTGTGTGGTATGTTCTGTGCCCTCTGCTCAGCACATCATACGAATAACCTAATTTAATTCTTATTCAAACCCTCAACAAGCAGGAAATATTGTTGTCTCCATTTTAACAAAAGGCGAATGAGACTTAGGTTTAGGAACTCTTTTCAAACTCAGAAGGTCTGATACAAAATCTCAACTTTGATTCAAGACCTAACCTTATTCACAAGTCTTTATCTGGAGACTCAATCAGGGCCCCTATGGTAGTTAACAATGAAATACAGAGGAAAGCAAAGGAGTTGTATCCCCTTTTTCTCTCTTCTTAGATCAGGCATAGTTTCGAAAGAACATTTATAGAACACTTACAAGCTGACAAAAAATATGTGAGCACACTTAATAGGAAATCTGTGTTGAAAAATGCTTTATTTTTCCTTCTCTGTGCTCCTCACCGCTTCTTCGTCTCATTTCCTCACCACCAGTGAGGACTGACCTCCCAGTGCCCATAGTCTTATGTTCCCTTCCAGAGGACTTCCTGGGGACAGGTGAGACTCTGGCCAGCATCATAGTGGAGCAGGACTCCCTGGATTTGGAATCAGCAGAGCTAAGCTGAAAAGGCGCTCCAGTAACATAGCGGTTTGAATTCACCCAGCAGTGGTTTGAATTCACCCAGCAACGCCAAGGAAGAACAGCCCAGTGATCTGTTTCTGTATAGATTACAACTAAGGACACCTCTTGGAGCAGTTCTGCTCTGTACTATATGGCCGTGGAGTCAGTTCTGACTCATAGCAACCCTATGTAGGGTTTCTAAGGCCGTAAATCTTGATGGGAGCAGAACGCCTCATCTTTCTCCCATGGAACTGCTGGTAGTTTTGAACTGCTGACTTTTAACATTAGCAGCCTGATTCATAACCACTATGCTACCAGAGCTCCCATTATATACAGATCCACATGAATTAAAATCCATTTGATGGCACCTAGTAATAACAGCGGCAGCAGCTCTGAGCTGAAATTCTGCCTCTTTACACCAAGGGTCTGGCAACCTTGTCACTTCCCCCTTGGAGCTCCAGCTTCCTGCTGGGCAGAATGGACTGGCCAGTTCTGTACAAGGTCACAGTGAAATTCAAAAGCTAGTGTGAGAGGAAATGCTTGCTGGGTTGTTAACTTTATAATCTTCCATATTATTCTCTAGCTTGTCCACCATCTCAGGCAAACCCAAGAGGGGCACAGAGAATCCTTATTGTTAGGTCTCTGCTTTTTTTCCTCTCTCCTTTCTTTCTCTTGGTATGGGAAGAATTGCAGTATTTTATGTTGGCAATGGGCCTTACCTTCTAATGTTAATTAAACACTATCCTTGTAATCATAGTCATGATCCTTGGGGTCCTTAGGATAAGCAGTGGACTGCTAACTATAAGATCAGCAGTTCAAACCCACCAGATGTTCCTCGGAAATCCTATACTGGATTGCTGTGAGTCGGAACTGACTCAATGGCACTTTACAACAACAGCAAAAACAATACTTGTCATAGTGACCTTACGTAAGGATCCTGAGCCTAAATCTGATTGACGCACACAATCTCATCATTTTCTGGAAGAGCAGCTTGCTGAGTTTGAACCTTCCACCTTGCAGTTAAGGAGCCCTGGTAGCATAGTAAATTATGAGCTGGGCTGCTAACTTCAAAGTCAGCAGTTTGAATCCACCAGCTGCTTTCTGCTCCTGCAAAGATTTACAGCCTCAGAAACTCTACACAGGGTCCCTACGAGTCGGAACTGACTTGGTGGCACACAACCACCACCACCAACAACAACAACAACCACCTCCACCACCACCACCACCA